TTTTCAGGACTAGCCTAAACCTTTGCAGCCACCTTGATTTTAACCCATAGCGGCTCGGTAGGGTAGAGTAGAACTGTCTCATGGGATTTGCCAAGGCTGTAAATCTGTACCTCTCCAGGGAAGCAGACTGCCCCAGCTGTCTCCTATGGAGTGGCTGCGGGTTCAACCCTTTGGTTAGCAGCCGAGCACTTGAACCATCATGCCACCACGGAGCCTCTTGGGAACATTTCTCATCTCTGGCAAAGGATTTAAAGATGAGGGTTAGAATGTAGATGTGGTCATGAAAGGTGAGCTGCTGGCCCTGGGCACCGTTCCATTACACAGTTTCACTGGAGGTGAACCATTACTGAGAACAGATCCCTTCTAGAAGGGTGGATTTTCAGGGAAGGCGGAGGGCAGGACTCCAGGCCCTGGCGCTGTGGCAGTTGGTGGGAAGGAGGCACCATGGAAGAGACTTCAGATTTGAATGCACACGGTGCAGTTTAAGATAAGTGTAGGTTTGTCTGTTCTTATGCACTGGAAAATGTGCTACCTTTCACGAGAAAACGAGATTTGGAGCTCTTGTTTCGGGGTAAGGTCTGCCTCTCACGTCAGTATTCTGTTGGAAATAACATTGAAACAGGAAGGAGTTTCTCAGAAGCATCTTTGGCATCTCCTTCTCCCTGTCTCCCCAAGCAAGGTGCTCAAGGTGAAGACCACCGTTTTGGTGGAAGCGGCCGGAGTTGGCTGGCATCAACCTTGTTCTTCTTGCTTATCTTCTATGCCCATCTTCTCTCCATTGCCTTTCTTGAATTTAGTTGATTTCACACAGTTATACCAGCAGTTCCCCAGGGAATTCCCACATGGAGACGTAAAGAAAAATCCATAAAAGCCAAGAACCAGACGGTGGTAGTCATATATTAAGTGTGTCAAGGAGACACTCTTGGCTAGGGGAGGAGTTCAACCTGTCAATGAAGTAGTGGCTCGATGATGCCTCGTTGGGGGTGTGACCTGTTTATAAGAGTGAAAGAAACAGAAGCCTACCCCCCCACACACACACTCTGCCACGCTGGCTTCCTGCCTGTGGGAACCCTGCCTGCCTCCAAGGACCGCCCCAAGTGGGCTGCGTGGCCCTGAGAGCCATCGTCACGATAGGCTGAGGAGAGCTGCCACATGGGGTGTCTGAGACTCAAGCTTTTTGGAAGCAGGCTGCCTCATCTCCCTCCCACAGAGGGGATGATGCTGGATTTTGATCAGCTTTGACTCATATACCACTGCACCACCAGGGCTCCTGGGTTCTATATAGTGTTCTGAAAACCCGCCCGGTTCCCAGGGAGAAATGTTTATGTTTTCCTGTAAAAGATGGGCGCCCTCCTGACGTGCTAAGCACAAGGTCAACAGGTGGGGAGCACCAGCCCATCCTCAGGACAGAAACAAGGCTTCCATCCCATAAAGTGCTACGGTCTCGGAAACCCACAGAGGCAGTTCCACGCTGCCCTATGGGGTCATCGGGGTCAGAATCGACTCCATGGCAGTGAGTTTGGTTTTTGAAAAAATGAAGTGTTATTTCATGATTGTCTAGAAGGAAGACTGGCTTTCTGCCAGGTATTTTAGGGTGAATCCAGGCTGGAAATGCCTTTGGGGTGTACGGGGAAAACAACAAAAAGCAAAACTTTTTTTTTTAAGTTGAAGGAAACCGTATACGGCCCACGCTGGGTCCAATAAAAGGACGAGTGCTGACAGGTGCTGAGGGCGCAGAGGTTTGAAGCCCTCTGTTCTGTTGGTGGATGTGTGACACGGGGCAGCTGCTTTTGGACAGCAGCGCGCGGTTCCTTAAAAGATGGAGCCCCAGTAAGTTGCATGACTCAGCACTCCCGATCGGAGCCCTGCACCCTAGAGGAAGGGGGACATCCTGAGCCCTGCACCCTAGAGGAAGGGGGACATCC